TAAACCTTTGATAAACAAATGGAAAGACTTCATGGAGTGAGGCAGAAGGAGGAAGCATGGACTTTGTTGCTTGTCAGTCCTAGAAAAGACCAGCTGATGTCTATGAAACCGAGTGGAGTCAAAGTTCAGCCTGCATCCCCGGTTGAAGACAGGTAAGTAAACACGGTAACTCAGTTCCTTAAGAACTGAGTAAGATGAAAGCTCAACTATTCCCCTACCCTGGTTAAGACAGATAGGACCTTGGTTGGAGACAAGTAAACATGATAACTGAGTCCCTTAAGATCTGAATGGAATGAAAGGCCAATTTACACATTCTTTCCATGCTATCCCCCTAGAAACAGGTGATATATACATTAATGTGTCTCAGGAGAACTTGAAAATTAACCTTGGCCCGCGGACATGCGCAGTGAGACAAACAGGAACAAAGTAGCTGGGAACTGACATTCTCCCTTCTGCCCAAGCCCCGATCAGCTGATGACAGGAAGCTGGTGTGACTCATCCAGTGTGCAAGAGCACTGCATTAAAAATCGACTGTCTCTTTAAATTGAGGGGAAGGAAACTTCAGCCAATCCTCAGTTAATTCACGCTCAAATTCCTTACGTTTTTATGAATATGTATAACCCCACTCTCCTTAAACTTAAAAAACTGTATCCCGACCACCATTCACGGAGTCAGATTTGGGTACTGGCCCGTCTCCTTGCATTGCTGCTTTCCATTAAGTAATTTTCTCCCTCTTAATCACTCGGTGTGTGAACTGTTTTGGCCTCATTGAGCACCGGGCAGGGACCCACGTTTGATCTGATTTCATCTACAACACCGCTCCCTACTCTGTTCCTGCACCCCACTAAAAGCATAACTCCATCTCATGCAGCCTTCTGTGGAATTTAGGGCTACAGACTGAATGGACTTATAAAAGTATTCACAAAATGGGGCAAACTCCTGAATTGTGAACAATCATCTGTCACTACAGCCTTGCGCACTTAATAGTTGATCACTTTGCAAAAGAGTAAGATCTTTGCAAGGGATACAAATAACACTGGGATCAAGACTATTTACTAACATTTAGGTATCTAATAAACACACTAACAGGCCCCACAATGCTGAAGAAGTTTGAAACAGCAAGCACCATGGCTGAGCTCCACGCTCAGCCTTGTAATTCCCAGGTTCTAATCCCAGCTAAACTACTTACCAGTTTGTGGGAGTTTGAGCCAAATCACCTTTCTGAAATCTGTCCATTTAGGAGATCATCTGCCCCGTACAGCACATATGGTTGTGGTGAGATCAAAGACAATAAACAAAGAAAACACGCCGTACATTGTGAATCACTATGTTAAACTTCCTAGAGGCTTTGTGAGGAACTGGTTCCTAATTCTCTGTCTTCACTGATGACCAAAGAAAATATTAACTGGCAAATGCTTTACTAGAAGTCTAAATATCCATTTATATGTGTCTGGGCTTAGCACACAGATGGTGCTCAACTATGTGAGATGAGAGAGTAATGCTATATATAAAAACAATGCAACTAAATGAAGCCTGGCAAGAGTTATAGAGGCAGAAAGAAGACAAAAGGAAAAATCCCTGTTTCCAACTACAAGTCCCTGAACAGTGAGTGGCCTCCTTCTCCATTCCACACGGCTGCAGAGGACAAAGCTCCCACATACTACAAGGTTATTCCTGGTGACGTCAAGCTGTCTTCTGCCTGACTTCATGAATAGCAACCATCAACAAATACAGCTCTGAGAACCAGTGTCTAATAAATTACACAAGTTAGGGACCTCCTGGCCTAGTGCCTTCATTTATTTGCAAAATATACCAGCTACAGGGAACAGATTAAAAAAAAAATGACTAAGTTCTTAGGTTAAGTAGCTATTCTCCACACCCTGTTTACATTAAAAGCACAATGGCTAACATGCTCCAACTCTGCAGGCTTAAAAGCTTTTCGCATCAGTGGCTGGAACCTGAGTCATCACCAAGACTATCATCAGAGCACATTTATGGAGAACCTACTGTGTGAGCTATGCTGACTTTAACACTGAACTCTGTGCCACCCTTGCTTTTCAAATCTGGACTTCCACAACAGCTCTTTCCCTACTCATGCTGACACCCCAAAAAAAGGTGATGCATGATTTGAGGAAAACCACTCAGCATGCCAGGCATAGCAGAAGGTCTTCTAGATGTGTCTCCAACAGAAAATTATGTATCATATATGTATATGTATATATATACCATATATACATACACACTCACATATATACACATCCAAAGCTTGCCACCTTAACAAAATAAAAACAGCAAGCCTGCTATCTTTGTTTCTGCACTCACTCAGCTCTCCTTATCATTTGTGCTGCTCAACAATTTAAACATGAATTTAAGAATTCAAGACCCCTTTCAGTGCCATGGGAGCTCTGGTGGCATAGTGCCTGTGGTGGTTATGTTTTTGTGTCAACTTGGCTGGGCCTGGTTGAGTGGCTGGGCAGCTGGCAATAGTTATTCCCCATGATTAGACTGACAATCAACTCCATAGTGGGATCTACCACAAGCAGCTGAGTAGCTGCTTTGGTTATGTGGTCTGCTTCCCGTATATAAGCAGTAGCTTTGGGAATGGTCTCTAGCTTATGGCACCTTGAACCCTCATGTGGCCGTGTCATTGCTCAGCAGCCTGCCGTGCTCTGCCGACCTTGGGACTTACAATGGACTTGAATTAATGGCCTGCGGTGGGACTGTGCCTTGTTACTTGTCAACTTTGGGCTTGGCAGCCTCAGCAGCCAGCAGCTGTCTGAGTGAAGAAAAGCCTCTAGCATCAGTGGGCTGGGAGTTGGAGGCAGAGCTGGAGCCAAAGGCTGAGGGGCGTTCACCCAACCCCTAGAGCTTGGCACTTTGAACTTGGACTTAAAGCCTCCAAACTGTAAGAATAAACTCCTGTTTGTTAAGGCAAATCCATTCGTGGTATATTTCTTGTCAGAGCAGCACTAGGTAACCAGAACAGTGCCTAAGGCATTTGACTGCTAACCAGACAACTGGCAGTTCAAACCCACCAGCCACTCCTCGGAAGGAAGGTTGGGCATCTACTTCCATAGTGATACCACCTGGGAAACCCGAGGAGGGGTTGCTATGACTCGGATGACAGCAGTGTGTTTGGTTGTGTTTTGTTTTGGTTCAATCCCACAAGCAGGTTCAGTTCATGGCCAAAAATGACTATTTTTCCACACGGTAAATCAACTGAGCACCTTCAATAGTTCTATCATTCAAACTCAGATACCTTCTTGCCCAAGATATAAAATCTCATGGCCATTTCCAAAAAGTCATTCCCCCATCTATCTCTGCATGCAATGAATTCAGCTTTTTAAGGAAAAATTGTTAAATACCTAGTAATAAATACAAATTGTTGCTGCTCAATCTAACCATATAATGCTTGCCCAGTTAAATAAACATCAAACTAGGGAGTCTCATGTAGACTGATGGAAGGAAGACTGGAGATAAAACCACTATTTAAGATTTTGGTTATTAGCAAGTGTGATAGTAAAATTAAACCGTATTACAGGTAGAATAAAAGGCAGGATCAGAAAGGGTTGGGAGCAGATGGGGATAACAGCCACTCCAAAGCACTGGACTTCTTTCCACAGATCTCGTATCAAGGAAGCATAATTTAATCAAGAAAGCACTCGCAAGTCAAGCTGTTCCACATGACGTGCGGTTAAGAGAAGTTGAAGGTGGGTACATATTTCCCTTAGCTAGTATCAGAATTATTTTCACGGCTAAGGTCTCTTGGCCTAGGCCAAAAACTGAACAGTCTGCCAACATCTGACACACAGGACCATCTCCTTTTTGGTTAATGGGCCATCAGTTCCTGCATAGGGTAGTCTTGCCTCAACTAACGTTATACAATCCATTTACTTCCTCTACATTAGTGACTTAAAATGCACCTTGGGGAGATACAACAGAACAGCAAATAATGGAGCCAGGCCAACACTAAGGCTTGCAAAGACTTAAGAGAGAGGATCTAGGACATAGTTTTCAAGAAAAAAAAAACTAGCAGGCATGTGTGTGTCAAAAAGGATAAGGGGAGATGGGACCCATTTGCTGTCCATTTGCTGAGGCAGCTGGGACCTGCTGTGAGAGCTGCCACCTCCTGGGAGAAAAGCCAGCAGGTTGCCTCCTCTCTCCACAGTTACATATTAAGCCTGCAACTGTTTACGTTCAATCTCAGATACATTCTGTTCACCATCGTCAGAGTTCCAAGTGCAGGTGCCCTCAGTTAATCATCCCAGCTCACTCCAGAGTCACTTCCAGCAGTGAAGGATGTCTCAGGCACGGTTCATTGGTTCATTCCAGTTTAACCTCTTGCTGAGGACTTGCATTTCCACCCTGTATATACTGAATCAGAATCTACATTTTAACAAGATCCCCCAGGTGATTCTTAAAATATAGATTCTGATTCAGTATACCTGGGATGGAAAGGAAAATTCTCAGCATGAAGTCAAACCAGAATGAACCAGTTTGAAGCTCTGGCTCCAGCCAGCCAATATTTTCTTTTCTTTTAAATCTGCACCATTCTGTTCCCTCAAGACTTGTTTTAAAAGTTTGTTTTTTGTTTTTTATTTAGTTTCTTCAAATGAGAGGGTAACAGTCATAGGACAAATCTGGGACTCCACTTTAGATAATGAAAGAGACTAAATAAGAAATGAAGAGACAACCGCGTGGTGGCAGTTAAGGGTGGAGGGTCCAACCAAACCAAACTCACCACTGAGTCGATTCCAACTCATAGCAACTCTGTAGGACAGAGTAGAACTGCCTCACAGGGTTCCCAAGGCTGTAAATCTTTACCGAAGAAGACTGTCACATCTTTCTCCTAAGAAAAAACTGGTGGGTTCGAACTGCTGACCTTTTGGTCCAGAGGATGGGAAACAAATGAACAATCAACTCAAAACACTTCACAAAGGAAAATATTTTCTAAAAGGCCTGGAAGGTTACCTTCCAAAACAAGAAAGCCAACCTTCTGCTCATTTTGAAAAAGCTATTTATTTTTTTCCAAATATGTGTTTTACAGACAAGAGTCAATAGGGGTCAGAAACATTCAATAGAAGAAATCATTTTTATAGACATATAATGGAAATAAGAAAAAGCTCACATTTATGGAGATGTAGCCATGTTCCATGGGAAGATTTCAGCATCCAAAGTGCAAAGACAAAACGACTGTGGCTTTCCTTGCCACACAAAATACTGACAATCTTCCCTTACAGCCTACTTTAATGATTAGTTGGGGTAACAGATGGCACACTGACCTTTAGAAGTAGGGCTCTACTGGACAAGGTAAAGATGGAACAGGGTCAATCACCAGAATGAATTCAACTTTAGAATAAACTGGCTTTGACCTCAACCAAACTCAAAGTTCAGCCTGAGACCCACTAGAGATAAATACAAGTTTTAATATCACATTTACAAGCCTGTGCCTCTTAGCACTATGAAGAGTTAATCAATCCAAATTAAAGCTAAGCATACTTCCATCACTAGTTCCAACCTCACTCTATCCTGTTTTCACGAAGGCTCCATGCTACAGCTCAATTCAAAATGGGAAAAGAGGAACTTTTGAGTTCTCAGAGGGAGTCATCCTAAATGCTCTGTCCAACCCTTTCTTTACTCTGCTCTCTCACCTCCCACCCTAATGCAAGTCAGTCTTACCAAAGAGGTAGAGTTTCTGTCATTATGTCATGGAAATTAATTTTAAAAGACATCAGAGAAAGCTCATTCCATGAGCAGCATTTGGCTTTAAGCCAAAGGACATTCCCCTTACTTCCCTTCCCCCAAGAAGAATCACAATGAATTCCATACTACCCCTTCCACTCCTGCAAAGATCTCCCACCTAAAAGCTTGAAACAACTAGCACAAGGTGTTGATATGTTACTTGAGAAGAAGGAGAGGGAGATATACATATTTTTAATAAACCCCCGTGAACAATTAAACTTGATTAAAAGCTTGAAGAATGCTAGAAGTAGTAATGAGTACAGGAGGCTGCAGAGCAGAGGGTACAGGTGTGCCCTTTTTTGTAGTCGGTAAATGCTGTGGAAGTACCAGGCGGACATGACTTCACTTGAGCATTGGAGAAGCAAAGAAGTTGCCTTGTCGTCCCAGATTGATGGCAGACTTGCTTTTGCTTCCAAATCTAAAAAAAGAGAATTAAATGAAAAAGTATTCTATAAAATTTGGTGAATAAACAGCAATTATAACATAACTTGACATAGGCAACTCAAAGTAGAAAGCTCTACAGAGCAGTAGCTACCCTGTAAGCCACTCTTAAAGATCACCTGAAATGAGGAAGGGGAAAGAGGAAAGACCTTTTTTAAAAAATGGATCCTTATGGCTCCAAGTTTCCATTAAAGTCTGGTGACTAACTACGATCCAGTTACTTTTCTTTCAGTAAGCTTCAGCATGATGGGAAAGAAGTCTGAGGAAGCAGTCACCTTTTATGTCCTAAGAAGGCCAATTTCCATACCTGGGAGTGTTCTTGGTGAGGGTGGAGCGGACTCTCTGCGACAGGGAGCTAGACGAAGGAGTCTTGAGGAGTTGATGCTCAGGAGTGGTCACAGGCCCCAGTAAACTCACTTCAATCCAAGTTGGAAATATTTTTAAAAGAAGGAAAAAAAGAAAGCACCATTCTAGGTGGCTAGTTTTAAGCTGAATATCTTGGGAAGCATTTAAGAGCTAAACTCAGAGACCTAGCAAAGTCCAAGAGACCATTTTTGTCATCATTCTGTAACACAGTAGTGTATCTTTTGAACCACATAGGCAACCAATCAACGAATAGCTGACATTTGGTTCTTGATTTAGACCACTAAGCAACCATCACAAATCTAACATCTGATCATTTGATTTTACCTATACTAGAAGCAAAAATATGCTCCCTTGAAAAGAAACTTTCAACAATGAAAGAACAGGCCTCAATGCCAAAGAGGTTAGATGAATGCAGCATTATTTATTAACTACAAAAAATTGGACTTATAACAACCCTATAGGAGTAAAATAGTGAGTAATATTAGAGTAAAACTGCCCCATAGGGTTTCCGAGGCTATAGATCTTTACAAAAGCAGACTGCCACATTTTTCTCCCTCCCGTGGAGCAGCTGGTGGGTTCAAACCATCAACCTTTTGGTTAGCGGCCCAATGCTTTAGCCACTATGCCACCAGAGCTCCTTTAAATAAATGATAGCTTGCAGCCATAAAAATGATATATAATATTATATAGTAATACAGAAAACATTCTCATAATACACTAAGTGAAATAAGAACAAACTATCTAAATTATTTTTACATCTATATACAATCACATAAATAAAGAGGAAGAATTCAGAAAGATGAAGTTATTAGAACAGCACAGTTGTACAAACTTTCCTGTAATGTTAGGATTTTCAAAATAAATTCAATTTTTATTGAAGAATATGCATTTCAAACAGCTTTAACAAAGGCAGGGAGAGAGCTCACATCCTTTAAGAAGTGCTCCCCTTAGACCTTACCTTTAATATCTGGTGTCTGTGGTGTTGAAAAAGCATTTGAGTTTTCAATGACATGCATAGGGTCAATGTTCTCTTGCTCCACCATCATGAACTGACTCCAATATTCCAGTGGCAGTGAAAGCAGGCGCTCTACCACCTAAAAGCACCAGATACCTTAGCAAACTTGTGAAGCTGAGGGCTAACCTCCCAGCATACTCTCTCCATATAAGATCCTATGGATAAATCTTATTCCCAGTTTATCTTGTAATACAAATTCACATATATTCAATCTTGCCTACCTTAGGTTGACGCTTGATATCTTGTAACATTGTCACTGGGTCTGGATTGGGCACAGCATGAGCAACTATTGTAGGGCCGAAGACTTTAGCCAAATTGGCAAAATCCATTTTAGTATTTGGGCTCTGAGCCACTCTAGGCAAAAGAGTATTTAATTAGAAGACTCCTCTTCTGCTTAAACGCAGACCAAAATACTTCAGTAAGGAACACTTCACCCCTTATGCACCATCTTAACCAGCCTACATTATCTTCCCCTTGGAAAACTTTCTAACTCCCAGAAACAAGTTTCTGTTGTACTTACCTCTGCAAGTGAATCATGAGGAAAGCTAATGTGTCCCTGTTGGCTTGGGGTAGTTCACCCACAGCCTGGTACATGGCAGCTATGCTGTTGTCCTCATCTGTGATTTCTGTAAATGAAAAGAAAGCACCGAGAGGCCTAGACTTCTCTCCCTTGACAGCAGGCTTCCAAGTTATCGACCACAAAGCCTCATCTATACAGTAAATTTCTGAAACTTCTGATTAGGTTCATGTCTGCCTCAGACTCTAGATTCATTAACAAGCAGGATACTGGCCAACAGCTCAATATTAGAAGTCAGAACTTTCAAAAAATCAGCTCTGCAGTTAGGAAAGCACCTGGCAACCCATGTGCTAAGACTGCAGTGACTACAATTAACAAGAAGATATCCATTCATTCATAAAATATATCTGAGGGCCTACTCTATGCTAAGCACTATTCTAAGTGCTAAGAATACAGCACAACTAAACAACCTATACCTCATGGAATGCATATTCTACTGGAGGAGTGAGTCAAAAAAGCAAGTATGTATCAGGTGGCAATACATATGATAAACAAAATAGGGCAGGCAAGATGGACGCTGTTGTTTTAAATAGGGCAGTAAGGAAAGGTGTTTCTAAGGACAAGATACCTGAAGAGAGACCTGAAAAAAGTAAAAGAGCAAACCATGCAAATATCTATGGTAAGAGTGTTCCCCAGCTGAGTCACTAACAATGTGAAGGTCTCGAAGTAGGGAGTAGGCTTGATAAGTTCTAAGAATTACAAGGATTACAGTGTAACTAGAGAAAAAGGAAAGAAGGGAAGAATTTTGAAAAGAAATTATGTTAGACATCACCAGGGGGTGACTCATCTAGGACTTTTTTGAGTCATGTTAAGGACTGTGGATTTTATTCTGAGAGTGATAGGGAGCCACTGAAGTTTACTGAGGACAAAAGGAACACTGTAATTTAAATATTAAAAGGACCACTGTAGCTTATGAGGAACACACTGTAGAATGCAAGAGTAGAAGCAGGAAATCAGTTAGTAGGTTCTTCCAATACTCCAGTGTGAGAGATATGGAAGTGGTAGGAGTGACAAATACCAAATTTAAGGTGTATTTTACAAGACTGCTGATAAGAGCCCTCAATGGTTCAGATATGGGGTGTGAAGAAAAGGAATGAAAGATGAAGCCAAGTTCAAAAGAACCACCTAAGAATTGACCCAAAACAACAACAACAAAAAAAACTTTAAAAGCAACAACAAAAAATTCTGTTAACAACAATGGGTCTTTCCTCGTCCAGAGAAGAATGAAAAAAGAACAAAGGTTCATGGAAACAATTAGTCCTAGTGATTGGTACACCATGCAATTCTCAGCCTATATGACTACAAGACCAGAAGAACTAGATGGTGCCCGGCT